TAGTAAGGTTAGCCGCCATACCTGCTTTGAGTTGGCCGTCATTCCAACTAAACCCAACTGAAATCCCGAGGTCCGGGACCTGCCGTTGACCCGACAGAACTCGTGCCTTGATACCTTAAGGCACTTCAGACCGTATCTCCGTCACGTATTCACAATACCGTAATAATACCACCCATACAGGTCCGATACACGGCGGGCTCCGTGTCGCTGCAGCCATCCATCGATCGATCCCATCCCCCATCCGCATCACCCTTTATCCTCCGAGTCTGTCGGTATCACCAGAACGATACTTGATTTATGCATTTTTGTGTTCCCGTGGATACTACTACTCAGCGAGAAATTATTGCTGCACATTACAACTCTACTTGATAGTTTAAATTGTTGAGAATACTGGGATTCAACAACAACCACCCCCCTGCTAGCCGAAGAACAGTTCGCGAACAGCTCGAGCCCCGTGGCATCCCTGCACCAGCTGCATGCTTAAATTGAGCCAGAACAAGTGAGAGAGCGCCAGGCAAGGCAAGGCAAGGCAAGGCCAGTTTCCGGCGACGGCGGCAGCGGTTCAGTCGGGAAGCTGGCCGGGTTACGTAATACTGCAGGGCGGCTGAGATCATATCTCGATCACCGGGTTGAATCGAGTTTAGAGACCGACCTCGGAAATAGATAGGGACTGTGTGAAATTGGGGGGGAGGGCCACAAAAAAAAAAGGAAAAAAAAAAATAAAGGATAAAAAAAAATAGGGAGAGCGTAGAAGAAATTTGCCCCGGAATCCTCACCCTGATCCAGGTATAAGTAGCAGACGGATGTCTTCTTGGGAAGATGGGAAAGAAAAAACGGGCTGGTGAGCAAAGCAGGTAAAAATTACACAATGGGTTTTCCTTCCAAGGGATTCTTCCTTCAAGTGGAAAGGGGTGTGGTGGCCACGATAACAACCACACAGCACACAAGCAGGGTAAAACCGCGAGCAAGCCAGCCACTAGCGGGCTGACTGTGTTTGTGTGTGTGTGTGGGTGTTGGATATGCTTTCGTCCGGTTTTCGAGAGGCCACGGGATGATGTCGATGGGATTGGGTTGGCTTGCGCCGCGCGCGCGCCCACTTTTCTCCCTTATTCAGCTTGCGCCGGTCATCCACATCCCCCTGAGATTTGCTCCTTATTCCCCCGAGAGGGATCAATTTCTCTGATGTATCCAAAAAGCTATATAACCCGTGCACCACCCTCGGAGACAAGCGTGCTGAGGCATTGTGGGCAGTGGTTATTTTTTTTTATTTTTTATTTTTATTTTTTGCGCCATAGCGCAAGAAGCCTGTGTGGACTAACATTTCTGTGCTATTTGCGAGCTAGCTCAGGGAGCTACGGATCGTCGCGCGTTTCCCCGGCGAAAGGCGCTCCGTACGGAGCCGGGTTGTCCCAAAACGGCAGATAACCCAATACGATGAGTCGGTGAGGCATTTCCCGAGGGGGGAACAGACCAGGAGCAACGGCAGCAACGCGACACAGGACAATTGGGGAAGCTTCCCTCCTTCCAGCCGACGCGGCGCAAACCTGCTTGCGTCTCAGAAGTGGGAATTTTTCTTGCTCAGAAACTCCGGTGCTGGTGGAGCCGCATGCCCGATTCGGCCCGGTTTGATTGCGACCGAGAAGCTGGCCATCATATTAGCTGGGTCTTGGCTACTTCCCATTGGTTGTTCGGCCACCGCTAAGTGGGGATGTACCACTCTATCGGACCCATTTGGATGCAGGGACCCACCCGCACGTCTGGTTTTTTTTCTTCTTTGCGGTCTCCCGTTTCGCTGTGAAAATTTTGCATACCGTAGCTGGTCTCTTTTGGCTTGTTTCTCCTGTCTTGTCTTGTCTTTCCCGGTCTGTTGCTGGGTTGGGTGGGTGTCAGAGGGGGAAGGGAGAAGGGGACAATTTATATGTAAGGAAAGAATGAAGGGAGTGCCCCGTAGAGACAAGACAGGAATGTTTTTTTCCTTTTGTGACGACACGAGGGAAAGAAAGGAATTGAACGGAAGGGATCGGTCCGTACAAGTGTAAAATACACACATGACTACGGAATACTCCATCAGAGGCAGCAATTGGGTTGGTTATCTGAAGGGGAAGGAAAGTGAGAGTGAGAATCAGTAGGCCATTGCTCCATCGCGGACCAGCACGGCCAGGTGAAGACCCTGAAACCATTGGCTGTACCAGTTGTAGCTCCCCTGGTAACCACCATCCCGAATGATCCCGAAGGGTGTGTATGTGTGTATGCGTACACAGGATGTGTATGTAAGTTGTGGTAAGTGTGTATGTGCGGTGGAATGTCCACTGCTTTTCCCGGGGGAAGGAAGAAGGATAATGAGCCAAAAACGAGGCTGCCAAACACGGTGTAAGGGAAAAAAGAGCGAAAGGATCAACTAGGGATAACGGATTGATACCAAAAGACAAGACATAAACAGGAAAAACAGGAACAATACAATACAAACAGACAGTGCCAAAAACACCAGCAAACAAAAAAGTAAGGTAGGGCTTTTTTTTCTGGTCCCAACAAAGCGCACTAACACCCGACGGGGGGGCTGGGTGGGAAAAGGGCAAAAAACCGCGAAAATTTAGCGGGAGAGTATTTATGTCCCGGGGGGCCTTCTGTTGTCACTTTCCTCCAGCTTTTTCCTCCAGAAAAGTTCTCCTTCCTTCTTTCCCTTCCCAATCCCATCATTTTCTAGAGAAACTCCTCTCTCAGAACCACCACAAACCATCACAATGGCCTCCTCCCGTGTCTTCGCCCAGCGCCTGGCCTCCACCATGGCTGCTTCCACCAAGGTCGCTCGCCCTGCCGCTCGCCTCCAGCTTGCCCCCAAGCGTACCTTCACCACCCAGCGCAAGGCCGTCCCCATGACCCCCTTCCAGACCGTCAAGCGTCAGTCTCCCTCCGGCCTCATCCAGGCCAACGCTCGCCAGGCTTTCGCTGCCCAGCAGGCCCGCCGCCAGTACTCCTCTGAAATCGCCGACGCCATGGTCCAGGTCTCCCAGAACCTGGGTATGGGTTCCGCTGCCATCGGTCTCGGTGGTGCCGGTATCGGTATCGGTCTCGTCTTCGGTGCCCTCCTCCTCTCCGTCTCCCGCAACCCTGCCCTCCGTGGTCAGCTCTTCTCCTACGCCATTCTTGGTTTCGCCTTCGTCGAGGCCATTGGTCTGTTCGACCTGATGGTTGCCATGATGTGCAAGTACGTTTAAATTATGACCGAGGGATGATTGCAGTCACGACATCTGCGGAGATTTTATGATCCACTCCCAATCTTCGATTACAAACCTTCATCTTCATTGGAGAGAAAATAGGGGATATTGGGGGGAATATCAGCAAAATTCTTTGTTTTGAGATTGTCTTGGCTGTGATAGGAGGTAATTCTATTGTGGTGGTCTTTTTATATATCATGTACTACTTTTCCCGTCATCATCTACAACCATCAAATATACTGTACATATAGAGATTTAAAATGGCCACTAAACTCCAAGGATTTGCCAGCTACATTTGATTGTAGGATTGGGACTCTATATCCACATCGATTGATGATTCTCTGCTGTTTTCATGTCTTGCCAGTTCGGACTTGACCCATGAATGGAAAAAACCTGGGGTAACGACAGTGCTCGGTCCAGCCTAGCTGGTCAGATCAGGTCTCTGAACCAATTATCATATGATCACGCTTTCAAGCTTGTCGGTCAGACAGAACAGCTCGACAAAAGACCTTGTCTATTAAAGGCGGAAGGTGTGGTTGCCAGCCAGACAGGTACGAGCTTGATGCCAGCTGTCGACAACGAAACGGTTGTCCCGGAATCTCCGGGGGCAGCTCTGCCTCCCGGCCACTACCTCCCAACAATGGGCGATTACCGCCTTATAAGCCCTCCTACTAACTTTCCATTACACCACAAGAACCAATTGATCTAATTTTCTAACCTAGAGAACGTCTAGAATAGTCTCTCTCACACTCCAATTAATATTCAATAACTGTTGGTAAAAATCAGCCATCAACCAAACCCGTAGTGGCCCATGGCACCCCCTTCACTCTCACCCGGTGGATCTAGACTGACGATCCCAAATGTAAACGTCACCCACCCTACCACCACCACCGCCTCAGCGACCCAAGGGCAAAATATATGTGATCAATGGTAGCAGTGAGAGCGTTTGCCAGACATTTTCCCATTCAATTGACTCACACCCAACTGTCTTATCTCAGGGGCTGTGAAAGTAAGAAAGAAAACAAAAAGAAATTTTTTCATCAAAAATTTTGTCGTGCAGCTCTAATCCCTGCATGTGCATGAATCTCGACTCATAGTTCCAAGTAAGAAAAGAAGTACCTACAGCCAACCGACATGAAGAGCTGCCGTGCAACCAAACCCAGTTGTTCTATCTATCTATTCTAGTCGACGGAAGGAAGTTGAAACTAACCCTGCGCCAAGAAAAAACATAGGTACCACTTTTTTTACGTATCATGTGTATCGGGGCTTTCCCTGCGACGATCGGATCGGTAGAAACACAGACAGATGGATAGATACCAACCTGAAGGACTGAGAGCAGAGCACAGACACATAGCCATTGAGTGGAATTTACCAGCCATTGAGTGTCAAGGAGGGTAGGGAAATTATCTACGGTGCAATGGTATAGGATGATTCCATTTCGATGATGAATCATGGACTGGATACGGAGGGATGATGGATGTGGTTGTGGATGTGATTCATCCATTCGTTTCGTCTCCTTCGATCCGGAAGGGAGAGAACTCGGTAAGTTAGGTAATCTATTACTGTCTTGGGTATGGGTATGCTTGGTACCGGTATTACGAGGATGAAGGTGGTGCATGTGACCTGTCGGTATTTGATGGACATGTGATCTCGGGTGAGTTGCCTGTCTGTCTGGCTGTCGGTTGTTGGGTTATGGTATACCACATGTTTGTTATCTACTTCTTCTCTCTCCTCTTAGGTTTCTTCTGTTGTCATTTTTATACTTATGATAGTTTCAATAAGAGCTATCCGTATATATTATAGCAAGGAAATTGAATTGTATGCCATCAACTGTCCATCCCACATCCACCATGCATATCTGCGTATCCCGACACCCATACCCGACACGAATATATCCAATCCCGATCCTACCCGATCTTCATCCGGCAGGTTTCATTGCCATACCTGTATACCTACAATCATGCATCGTAGACCACAACACTAACGCACAATTCTGAATCTCTATACCATCACCAACATCATATACATAGCAGTCTATTCTACCCTACTGAGGAAGAAGATAAGAAGAAAATGCCCCCCTCACCCCTCTACACCCCCCAAGACGTCCCCTCGTTCAAGAAGCGTCGCAACCGTCTCCCCAACACCCGCGCAAAGCAACTTCTTCGTGCCGCAGAGCGTGATTACAATGACCCCCCTCCGCCGCCTGGTCTAGGCGAGTGCTGTGGGAGTTCGTGTGATCCGTGCGTCAACGATCTGTGGAAGGAGGAGTTGGCAATTTGGAGAGAACGGTGGGGGGATGGGGCGGTTGAAGATGGAGATAAGAAGGGGGACGAACAGGGAGATGAGAGCGACGGGTGTGCGAAGATGAAGATGCCGGGGAGTTGGGAGTGGTAGGGTTGAATTTTTGTGACGTTGCGCGTGTATTGGGAAGATAGCTTCTATGATGGTGGAGATGGATGTTTGCCTTATATGGTAAGTTAAACTTCTATTATGATATTGAACATTGTGTGCTGAGTTTGATAAAGGAGTGTTGCATACTGAATGAGGTGTATGCTGGAACCAGATGCTGAGCTTAAACAGTTGCTGTGGCTTCAGATATCACTGCCGCCAGTTCGGTTGATAAAGTGTACTTGGCTTTGCTCTGACAGGGCTGTTCATGACACACTAGCAGTGCTTTAATATCTATCAAGCATATGTTTCCAGCCATATTGCCATCAGGCTGCCATAGCTATTGAGCAGCTCCCTCAGATCGGAGGAGGCTGTTGTCCTATGGCGAATTTAGCTACCGGCACTACATTGACAGCAATGTGATTCCAAAGCACCTGGCTGAGCTTATGTGCAAACTGGGAATCAGGCATGGCACATCGCGCGGCAACTATACAAGCAGTACGCGATATCTTTCCTCGAGGTATACGATTACCTGCTACTAAGGCAGCCACTCAGAGCAGGCGTGAAGAACCTCAGCGTGGCTGTCGGATCCAGCGCTACAAAGGAAATCTTCCGGATGTTAGCTTTGCTGGAGAGCAGAATTCTACCTCGGCGTTATGGGTGAAAGCGCTCTCCTGGATGCTTGTCGATCGTCCTAGGCGTCACTCTTCGCCTTCCGGGCTATCAATTTTCAACAACCTGATGGCTTTGACTACCCTTGCATTGGTCTCTCCATGACCGCGCACCGCATGATATGCTTTGATTCCAGCGGCTTTCGAGGTGACCTCCATCGACACAAGGTCATCATCATGAACGCTGCCTGGGGGCTAGGAGAGAACATCATCCAGGACACTGTGGACCAAGACGAGTACCAATTCTTCAAGCTCCTCGTCTCGGAAGGCTACTTCGTCTCCATAATCGATGTAGAGTGCGGCCATAAAGCCACCATGTGATCTACGGCGACGGACTGACTCCCGCGCCAAACGTCTCAGCCTTGGTCCTCAGTGGCCCCGAAATCCCCAGCTCGCTCGATGGGCCTGCACCACTGAATCCCATTACGATTGCCCCATGGACATGGAATGGGGCCAAAGACAGCCTCACCAGTGATTCGTTCATCGTTCATGCCCGACCGGAAACCGTGCACTCGCGTCGCGACGCGACCGCCGCTCTCAAGGCGTACAACATTGGCCACAAGGGCTGCATTTCAAACCACCGGGGTCGTAGATGATGCCGCTGTTTTCGGTCGTCTCTGTCTGACAGAGTCTGCGCATCTAATGGACAAGTTCATGAGGTTGCATTCTCGTCACCGCCACGACCAACCGGACTGGATGCCGATCATGAAGCGCGCTGTGGCGATTATCTACAATGACAACAGCCGCACGTTGCCATTGTCAGTTGTGAACCCGGCGTTTCTGCCATCGTGGGCACCCATGATGCCTCCTGCATGCTGCACTCGGGGCAGGATGTGGCAGTCTTATGCTCATGAAGGATTTCTGCTGGAGTGTAGGACTATCCACAGCTGCGTGAGCAAATGAAGTTCACGAATGTGATGGCCATGACTCCATTTTGTCGCACGGTGGGCGAAACAGAGAAGGCGTTGCAGGGCTTGGCAGATAATGGACTGCAGGTGTATGTGATATTTGAGACTCCGTCAAACGTTGTCCTGGCGGAGCAGTTTCTTGGCGCACTTGATGCATTCTCGATCGGGTTGAAAGATCTCACGCAGCTGACACTGGTGTTTATTGTAACTCGGATGAGTTAGTAGAGCTGTTTGATGAGCAGGATGATCCGGTTACATCGCTCATCGCGCAGGTTCTTCGGATCGCGCGTAGGGCTGGCTGCAAGGTGGGCATCTATGGACAGGCACCGAGTGATCAATCTGAGTTGTCGGTGATATCGGGTAGATTCGCGGACGTGAAGAGGCAGGTGGTGGCGAGTGAGCAGAGACAAATTTGGAAGAAGGCTGATGGATCTGGCGACAACAAGTGGATTCAATAATTTAGTCTTTCGAATCCCAGTCCACTTTGCTACACATACGATACTTGCGAGACATTCATTCGCGTATTCTCATTGCTTAATCAAGCAACGTATAATCCCACTCCTAAGGTACTTCGATCCCTACTACGGCCCTTCGGCCTCCTTCACCTTGTCATGCCCCTTCACCTTGTGAAACTCCTTCACCTTGTAATGCTCCCACATTATCCCCAACTTCATAACCCCCTTCTCAAATGTCCACTTCTCTCCCTCTCTCACCTTCACCTCCACCTCCCTGACCAGCCCTTCCCTCCCCACCACAACTGGCCACGAATAACAACACCGATTATTACCCCTCCGATGACTTACCGTCCAGACGGTCTTTTTATCTTCCAGCACCGCCACCGCAATACCGGCGGCTACAGCCCCCACCTCCAACGGCGTTCCTTCCTCACCAGCAACAATGGCCTTCATCCTGCCCTGGGTAAATTCCTCCGCGTCGAGCCTCTCCTCGATTGAAACCCCATCCTTCCCTCGGGAAGTCGGCCACCCAACGACCTGGCTCTCATTATCCCGTACCCCGATCACACAAACCTCCGTCTCTTCTGTCGCGCCCCCCCTGGAAGCTAGATACCTCCTCCTGTAGCCGTAAAGTGTCAAGACAGGTCCCTACCCCGATGACTCGCTCCTTAGGCAGACGCGTGATATCTTGAGCCAGGGTAGTGAGCAGATCAACTGGGTTAGCGACGACTAGGATGACAGTGTTCGGGTTGATTGGCATCATCTCCTTGAGTATGCTCTTCAGTACAGTGGTCTTGAAATATACGTGTTCGTAGATGTCTCCTCCTATGCACGGGGATTAGCCGATTTTCCTTGTCAAGATCTGTACATTTGTATGCAAGGTAGTGATTACCAGGAGTAGGTTTCATCCCCTCAGTGATAATAACCACGTCAGCCTGACTTGCCTCTCAGTGCGTGGCCGCTTGAACTTTAGTCACGGAGTCATAAAAAAGCGCGGCATCAGACAGATCGCGCACTTGTGCGTCTTGGAGTTCGGTATTGATGTCCACGAGGAGGATGGTGGCTTGGATTTCTCGCCGAATTAGGGATAGGGCCGTTGAGGCGCCTACGGAATCGAGGCCAATGAGGGCGATCGTTGACATGCTTCTGAACCACTTTGGGGCTGGGATTGTTGTATAAATGATATGGAGATGAGGGGGAAGTCGAGCCCTTGAATCAATGTGTAGGTCATTCAGTTCTGCTTATATAGCCATGGCGGAAGGGAGCCCCTGCTGTGGCGTCATGGTTGCGGGACAACCCTGGTGGAAGTGTGTTCCAGAAAGTATAGAGGGGCGAGGATAAAAAATGTAGTCAAGCCATGAGAAGAGATTGTACCGTGGTTTATGTCCCTGTTGTGTTTCTTTGAGGGCGTGTTGGAGCGAAGCTTGGTGGCTGTCTAGACCTGACACATAGTATCCACATGCCCAAGTCGTGGAGAGTAGAATTATCTTCCTGTTCATGTACCAGATGTGAGGGCTATATGCTGCGGGCTAGATGCTGGTTCACTGCTAGAGGTTTATTTATCTAGCAGCAAATAAACTTATTATTAACAATACCCATAATCTCTTTATTAGATTTGTGACAGGTTACCTGCCGATAGGTAGGGGCCTAAAAGGTATGCTCGCTGGAAACGACAACTGGTGCAATCCGGAAGCACACTTCAGGGGAGAACTCAACAGACATATCTGCATTTGGGAAAGTAGTAAGTGCAATTGATCAGTCCGAAGAGCATTATTGACATGTCCAGTGTCTCTATGCGGTATCGGGACGTGTCATCTTTGGCATCGATGACACTTCCACTTCCATATATCACATGGTGCATTGCCCGCCACAATACGTCTACAGCGTTAAGCATCTTACTTTGGCACTAAGAAGAGCTCGGTGGACTGCTGAGACACATTGGAGATAGCGAGATTAACTGCCAGATCCTGCGGATGCTATGAGATGAAAGATCAGAGGAATATATACCACACAAGCCATTTGCCCAGTGGAAGGACCATATCGAACCAGAATTAGTTCATGGATTTTATCTCCAAGCTAAAGAACCTGGATCCTGCCAAGCGACTCACAGATCGTGAAGTGTTTGGGCATTCGTGGTTTTCAGATGCCTAGTATCACTTCGAATGCTCTACGGCTAAATGTACTTGAAGATAGTGTGTTCGTCGTTCATTGTATGGTAAATAGTTAGTGTGGATATTAAAAGATCCTGCTATTCTTGGTCTTAGCGCTTCCGCGCAGGAGATAGTGGGTCCAGGTCCCCTTGCATGGGGTCCGTGCGTGTCCAAAATTCCTCCAACTCCCATGATCATGAATGTATGCATCACCGTGGAGGTCTCTGAGAACTACTTTTAACAAAGTCTTCAAGTCGAGTCCATGTAAACCATCAAATGTGCCGCTGCGAACTTTATCCGCTGCGGAAGTCATTGAAGAAGAGTGCATTCCACATTATAAGCCAGACCACTACTACCCTCTCCGCCTCTATGATATTCTCAACGACAGGTACCAAATCACTGCAGAACTGGGTTGGGGAACCAGTTCAACAGTATGGTTAGCTCGTGAATTGAATCAGTATGTTCTACTGTATCGTTAAAGCCGTTTGGCATAGACTCAGACTAACATGATAGTAGGTGGCGCTGGTGTTCAGCACGCTACGTTGCAGTCAAAATCAAGGCGAATAACTATGCAACAAAGGAAGACGCCGAAAGGGAACTTCGCATTACTGAGGACATTACGCGCGCAAATCCACGGCATGTGGGCCGGAACTTTGTCAGCACGTTGCTCGATTCCTTTGATTTACCAAGTCTTCATGGTACCCATGTTTGCATGGTGTTTGATCCATTGTGTGAGCCTCTATGGATGCTTAGACGGCGGTTTCAAGGGGATGTGCTTCCATTGGACGTTCTCAGACCTGTTGCCAAGTTGATTCTGGAAGGGCTTGGCTATCTCCACTCTGATTGTCAGGTCATTCATACAGGTATCGCTTCTAGGCAAAAGAGAGGCAAGCTGCGAATTACTAATAATTGATTAGACTTGAAATCCGACAATGTTCTCATGGCTCTCCGTGACCACTCCATACTTGATAGAGTGTCTCAGGATGAGATGAAAGAACCACTGCCTCAAAAACAGCTCGAAGACCGAACAATATACCTTTCGAGGAATCACTTCGGTGTGGAAGCAAACAGCTTGGGCCGACCAGTGATCACTGATTTCGGACTGGCTATTGAGGGGTCCCAGACTCATTACCACCCCATTCAACCGGATAGTTTCAGGGCCCCGGAGGTTATTCTTGGGGCAGGGTGGAGCTACAGTGCTGATGTCTGGAACCTGGGTGCTTTGGTATGACCTAATGTTCTCTTCGCAGATATTCTAAATTGCTAATATTGTGGAACTAGCCCAGGGCAGTGGTCCTTTTGATGGACCAAACTCTGAACACTCTACCTTCACGGAGGAAGCTCATCTGTCTCGCATTATATCGGTACTTGGACCTCCACCTGTGGATGTGATTCGTGAGGCGAAGTATGCTTCTCGATATTTTGATACTGAAGGTAGTCATTTTTCTCGGCGAGCAATGTTGGAGCTTCACTGATCTCAATGCAGGCAATTTCAAGCATTCAGGGCTGATCCCAGAGAGTGGAGGACTTGAGAAAACTCTTCACGACGTTGAAGGTGACGATAAGCAGGCCTTTATTGACGTATTATCGCGAATGCTGCGGTGGAAAGGTGATGAAAGGGATACTGTGCAAGGGTTGCTGTCGGATCCTTGGTTTCGGGGGTTGTAGGAAGCTGGCCTTCCCATATATAGACTTGATTTTAGTGCGACGTATGTGAACAAACAAAAATAACAGATGTTGAAACATTCACTGTAGCAGGGATCATCTGAACTTCCGCACCCTCTTCTGTCTATGTGGTCGCTGACCACCTCTTCCACCAATCTATAACCGCAATCTCGAGCTCTCGTAGATCAAATCCCAGATATGTCCAACCCTACGTCTTGACAATAGATCACAAGTTATAAGTAGCAAGCACTATTCACATACATGACTTAGCTGGCTATTGCCAACTTGATCACCAGCCCCAAAATGATTGATTATTGCCACAGATACATGGTATTTCCACACGCCCTCGCCAATCACCTTTGTCCCTCCTGGACATGCACAGCTTGTGCCGTGACGCAGTGCATAACTCCACCCCCAACATTACAGTCCCTTCGACTTTATCTCCGGCTTTAATCCACAACTTAATCTCAGGCTTAGTCTCATCTCCAGAATCTATTCAACTCCCACTAAAGTCCTTCTACAGCACCATCGGCACGCATGTCCCTCTCCTCAGCGGAAAAAAAGCGTCTCCGGGACCGTCGCGCCCAACAAACCCTGCGCACAAAGAAGCAGCAATACACCGCGCAGCTAGAAGACAAAGTGGCGCATTGCGAGCGCTACCACGACGACAGCGGCACGCAGCATCTCCTACAAGTAATAGAGGGCCTGCAACGAGAGAACCAAGTCCTACGAAATCGCCAAGAGGGACTAAAGTCATTGATCACATCGTGGGAAGATTCATCCTCATCCCCATCGCATCTACTGCAACCACAGCCACCGACGCAACTTCCACTACCGCCTATCCAGTCATACACCACAACACCAAAACCATCATCATCATTATCACCACCACCACCACCACCACCACAAACCAACAAGGAAGAATCAATACCACCTCTCTACTCCCTACTGCCTCTGCACTCAGACCTCCCCACCGCCCCCTCCCTTCTCTGGCTCACCCTCCCCCCATCCATAATCATCTCCTGCCCTCCTTCCCCTCACCCCCTCGACCTCCTCTACGGCACCAATACCAACCCCCTCGCCAACACCATCCACACCAGCTCCCTCCGTCGTCCCCTGCGCGACCCCGAGCGTCTCGCCTTCGGCTGGCTCAGCTACCACTACAGCAAATGGCTCTTCAACCCCACCTCAGAGACATTCGCCAAGCTGCCGACCTTTATGCATCCCGTCCAGGAACAGCTGCGTATCCCGCACCCGGCGTCACTGGATATGTTAATCTGGCCTGAGATCAGGGTGACTCTGATCCGCGAGTGGGAGGTGTATTCACGACAGAGGGACGACTTGTTTGGGTTCCTGGCCTGTTGTATGAAGGTGAGGTGGCCATGGGGAGAGAGTCTCCTAGAGAGGGACGAGAAGAATGACTTGGTCATGAAGACGCGCTTCAAAAACATGATCATGTGTAAGGAGGGGTGGGGCATAACGAGGGAGTTTGTGGATGTTTGGCCGGATGTTGTTAGGGGGGTAGATGTGGGTGAGGTGTTGATGGAGATTGGGTAATCCTCAAGACACTCTGTACTATTATTATCTTCTGTTATGCTATTCATATCTCATATTAATGTATGTAAATGTATGTCTACCATCTATAAATATGCCCACTAAAACTTTTTACAACACAACGAAAATGCACCAGTGGCCGTAGGGGCATTAATCCAGATTCACAACCCACTTCTCCCGAATCTTCTGCCCATATCGATTAAACAAAATCGGCACGGGCACGAACGCCAACGCCAAGAAGCCCAGCAAGGAGTTTCCCCAACCAAGCCCCAAACTGCTAAACAGCTTCGGCCCAGCAAGCGGTAACACGGCACCGACCAACGATCTCGTCGCCGTGAGCGCCGCATTCGCACTGGCCGCATACGCCGGATAGCAATCAATCACGTACGTCTGGATGGGCATATAGATGCCCAACATGCCAATGCCAAACGGCGCCATACCAATGATCGGTACAATCCATTGAACCTCGTACTTGGCGGACCAGCCGTACCAGAAGAAGCTGATGGGGAGGAAGCAAGCGAAGATGATCATAAAGGGGAGACGCATTTCGGGCTGGAAGACGCCGTTGTTGCGAGCGGTGAGTTTGACGACCATGCGGTCACTGGTCATTGCGACGGCAGTCATGCCGATGAAGAAGCCCACTCCGATACCTAGGTAGGAGAGGCCCGCGAGACCGGTGGAGAAGCCGTAGGTCTGTTCGAAGACCGAGGTGATGGTCGTGAAGAAAAGGTAGAGGAGGCCATAGACGAAGGCCATGTAGATAGAGAGGAGAA